CCGAGCCAGTATGTTCGTCAATATGTTTAGAACGTTACAAAGCAAGCTAATTGGCCTATATCCCTCACATGAAGTCGGATCTTTGCCCTCCTTATGTAGGACAGATATAATGGCTTCAGACCAAGTTTTCGGTGGATTACCTGAAGATAGAGCATAATTAAAAACTTTAAATAATATTGGTGTAATCTCTTCTTTTAGACATTTATAAAATTCACCTGGAAACCCGTCTGTACCAGGGGATTTGTTATTTTTCAAAGTTTTCATAGTGTCAGATATTTCCTGCAATGAAATTGGCTGTATCATTTGAGATGCCTCCTCCTTTGTTAATGATGGTCAATTGTTGTGTTTTGCTATCTCTAATGGGTTTGCCAACATTTGTTTAGAATTAGGGTGTCTTATTTTTGAAATTATCCTATTTGTCTGGGTCTTTCTGAGTTGGAATGCGAGAAGGCGACTTGCTCTGTTGCCCATCTCATAGTATCTGTTTTGTAAAACGTAGAGCTCCTTCTGCTTTGTATGTCAGAAGTTCATCCAATTTACATCGGTTTCTTTTTAGTTCAAGTAAGGTGCTATTGTTGGATGTTCTTTTACTTCTGCCTCCAATTCTCTAATTTTACTCTCCAAACTGTTTTGCTGTTCCAGACGAGCCTTTCTCAGCCTAGATGTTATTTCAATTATTTCCCCTCTAATAACTGCTTTTCCAGCCTCCCATAAAGTTGATGGTGATACCTCTCCATTATCATTCATTTGAAAGTATTCCATTAGATTTTGTTTTATCTCCTTCACCACTTTCTGGTCCGATAGAATTGACACATTAAGCCGCCAATATTTGAAAAAAGATTCTCTTCCCATGTCTATAGTCAATGTTATAGGAGCATGGTCACTTATGGTTATAGTCTCTATGTCACAATTCAAGACTTTGTGTATATGTTGTTGTGACACACAAAACAAGTCTATCCTTGAATAGCTACCATGTGGGTTAGAATAGAAAGTCACATGCTTCCCTCTGGGGTTGTTGTTTCTCCATGGATCTGTGAGACCCAGCTCTTTAACAACATTGTTCAACACCTTAGATTTTTTGGAAGTTGGTCCTTGTTCTGGTGGCAACCTGTCTAATTTGCCGTTCTGTACAGTATTAAAATCCCCTCCAACTATTATCATCCCTTTTCCATTAGTAGTAATAATCTTAGCTATGTTTAAAAATAAATCCTCGTTCTCTTCATTTGGGGCGTACACGTTCAGTATGGAAATAGCCATGTCTCCAATAGAGCCAATTACCATCACAAATCTTCCCATGTTATCTTTTATCACTTTTTCTGCTGAAAATGGCAAAGATCTATTCATTAGTATGGCCACGCCCCTTCTCTTGCCATATGAAGCATGAAATACTTGGTTTACCCACTCTCTTTTTAGCTTTTGGCTTTCAACCTCGACAAGATGGGTTTCTTGAAGCAACGCAATTGAACATTTTAGTTTCATTAGTTGGCTCATTATCTTTTTCCTTTTTACGGTTTAAACCGTGGACATTATACAATATTAAACCTACTCATATTGATTTATGTTGAAACCCCTCAGCTTTGCACCTCATATAAATCAAAACAACTGTGCAAAACGACACACAGCGAAAAAGGTAAACAATAAACATCTCCATCAGAACAAATAAACAATGACAAAACAACATGACTCCCAAAAGTCCCATAACCAGAGAGGTGTGGCGAATTCTCCCTGGGGAAATAGCACTATGTGCACTTGCAACTTCCAGCTGTTATGTAAAGTTGCTACAGATGTGGCTTTTTAACCCTCCTGTTGTCTTCGGGTCAAATCTGACCGATTTACTACTTTCATCAATCATAACTTTTTTGTTTTACATTCGATTGCATTAAGGCTTTATGATATCCTTCACAGTAGACATCTGAACATATCAAATTGCTGATCACCACTTTCATTGAATTTTGGATGATTTAGTCAACTTTGTAACACCCATGGTGTTCCCGGTCACACACACACACACACACACACCCTTATGTGCCCAATCCCCCCATGTGAATCACACCTGGCACACACACACACACACACACACACACACACACACACACACACACACACACACACACACACAACAATTTGAAACATTTCCCGCTCTTATGTGTCCATCCCCCCACATGGATCACACCTGGCACACGCAATACATGTTCAGTGTCTATTCTTTGTATGTACTGCAGTTTTTCATGTATACCAGTAGTCTGATACAATATTTACAGTTTGAAAGGGTGTTAAATTAAATTTGGTGATGATTAATGGTTTTTGTGTTAATGTAATTAAAACAGGACCGGTCAAATTTGACCGCGAACACCAAAGTAAGGGGGGGGAAACGAAGACAATAGAAGGGTTAAGGGCAGATCTGATAAGATATTTTTGACCTTCAGCTGCTGATAACTAAAGATTTGTGCTTACAAGCTAAAGGTTCTCTCTGTAAGGGAAAAATGTTAAAAAAAAAAAAAAGATGAAACATTAACACCAAGCATTATGAGGAAGATTCCAAGATGAAAGAAACTTGACAAACTTCCTTATGTAATCACTTAATACTTTTAATGAAATAGACTGAATAGGCTGTACATGGATATTTTTCTGTTCGATTGAGATATTTTCAATCCACATATGATGATTTATAATGTTTTGGTAAACCTGTGCCACAGATAGGCCTCGATTTGAACTTGTAGATTAAATATTTACCTTAAAGAATAGATAACTGTTACATTTACCGTGTGCAGTCAGGCTGATTGAGTTCCATTTGGAACCTCCATGAGGCTTACTAGCCTCACCATCCACTACAGATACTTATAAACACTGAAGCATATTGATATAAAGGTATATTGTAAAAAATATTGTGTTACATGGTTTTCTTCAAGAGAGTGAATATTGGACTCACAGTGAGTGAAACATCACATTGCCAAAGCTTTAGACTTACTTAATGTATCAAATGATGCCGATTCATAAGTCAGGGGATGGACAATGGTACTAAATGTTTGGCAAGCAATCCCACAGTTACGACCTCATGGTTATGATGATTGTATTCCAATCTTCACTAAATATGTGAAGAAAATGTACAGCAACACAGTTCCTAAGTGCCAGTAAGGATACAATTATGTAAACTTTGGGAGTTTAATTTTTAAGCTGGAAGTGTGTTAGGACATTTTGGGGACAGGGGGGTCTTTAGTTTACTTACTACTGTATGATTGACTAATGAATAGTTTTGAACGTTAATGATAGTAACATGCCAACATGTCTGTATGATGACATAAACATGCAACTATCTCCAAATGCTTCCTCTCCTTCACTTTGCTCCCTGCCTTTGCCTTGTGCTCTTAACTAACTTAACTTTCTTTTTGGAGAGCAGCCGTGATGAGGTTGGCACAGACTCACAGAACCCGCTCTGTATTGGAGCCTCAGCTCATGTGGATCAGGCTCAAAGGGATTTTAAACCAGGTCCATATTTCAGCATAACCAGTGCATGAAATGTTGGAATGCACACAATGTTAAGCTAATATCTATTATTGTATGCATATAAAACCCATGCATTTTTATCTTAGAGAATACACAAATCTGTCAAAGCCACAGTCCCTGCTGAGCTGTGGCATTACACTGCCACCTACAGACCACACGGTTTCTAAAGATTTTTAATTTCATGCAGCAGTAATGAGGTTGCAGCATGATGCCATGGCAGATCAAACGTGTTTCACAGTGACAACAACCCCTCATTGTAGGCAGCCTGTGGCAGGGACACTGACCTCACTTACACTCTAAGGGTCACATGAGTCTTTCCAGAAATAAGATTTCTCCTCAGTGTTTGTAGCTAAATAAGAGTAGCGTTTGCAACATTCAATCAGCTCATATCTTACTCATCTACTTCAGCAAATTCCCTTTTACATTATAAAACTCTGTACTACAAACTGTCTAAATATCCAACTATACATATTAATGTTTATGAAAGACATAGACCAAAATATTGTAGTAAAATATTAATTCCCTTTACTTTAGCAAATAGGTTACTTTTTTTGCAGACAAACCCCTAATCCAAACTACAATATTTAAAACATGCAGCCTTCAACGAGTTAATTCTTTATTAAGCATTTAATTTTCTGTTTTTATTGATATTATTCCATTTAACAGATTTGTACTTTTCCTGCAATTTACTTGCATCATTGTGTCAATTGCACTTTTGATTGTATTGTACTTCCTCCTCGTTTTATGTCTTAAGTAAACAGTATTGAAGGCAGCCTATGTCATTGAATGGACTCGATCACAGCCTCTTCCAATGAAAATATATGTTTTAATTGTTAAGAAAAACAGAAAATCTAAATGGTAAACTAATATCTAAAAAGCTTAACCCTCTTATCATGTTCTATTTGACCGATGTAGGCTAGCCTACTGCTTTTATCAATCATAAATATTGTGTTTGCTTCAAGGCCTTATGATATCCTCCACAGTAGGCATTTGAACATATCAATTGCTGATCACCACTTTTATTTAAATGTAGTCATTTTAATAACATATGGTGTTCCTGGTCAAAAATGACTGCCATAGGAAATGAATGGATAACCCCAGATTATGTTCATCCATCACACACCCCGGCGACAACCATGTTAATTTTTTGATATATTTTCAATGTGCATTCTTTGTATATTCCCTGCAGATATTCATGTCACCAGTATTCTGAGACATTGTTTACAGCTTAAAAGGGTGCTGAACAAAACGTGGTGATGATTCATGTTTTATTGTGTTAATGTAAGAAAAGTTCAAACAGACGGGTCACGTTTTAACGGGAACACCACAATAAGGGGGGGGACGAACACGACAGGGGGGTTAAAATCTAAACTTTCAGCTGCGTTTTCAGTCCTGGTAAACCGTTCTCTTTTTACATCCATGTGTGAAACCCATAGGGGCTGTATGTGAAACCGAACAGATGTAAACTCCTCCCGGCCGGGCTGTGAAGACTATGCAAACGAGCTAACCCCGAGCTAAGTAGGAAGTGACAGAAGAAGATTCCAGGCAAAACAGAAACAACCGTGTTTACCGAGCACGGCGGAGGGCGAGAGAGCCCAGCGTCTTCTGTAGAGGAGCACATACTCTGTATTTTTAGAAACAGTTAAATCTCACAGCTGTGCTACAGGTTTAACGATGTATTATTTTACCACCGAGAGACGAACACTGGCCACTTGGGTGTTTTTTGGTGCCTTCCTGCTGAGTGTTAGCTTTGTTAGCCAGGGGGAATGCCAAATAACTCCACTTCCACCAACCCGTAAGTTACAGTCGTTTTTTAGAATAGAAAAGTCTTGTTTTACAGTTTACAAAGACAATATTCTGGCTACTAATAGGATAAGTTTATGCCTTTTTATAAATAAGTTAGTACGTTGTACTTAAATCGTGAAATAATGCTGATGTTTTTTTGTTTTTTTAATACGTCACTTCTGCATGTGGCCCCAGCTGGCTGCTGGTGCTGACAGGAAGACATTCAAGATCCAAAGGCTTTACTGTCATATTCACTGTAGCTACATTGTGGGGAAGATGTTAAGTCCCAGGCTCCTCCAACAATGCAACATAGATATTTACAAGCCATAAAACAAAGAGAGAGTGCAAGAGAATGTTGCAAGATTACTGTGCAGAGGTGGGAGAAGTACTCAGATCTTGTACTTCAGTAAAAGTAGAAGTACTCAGATCTTGTACCTGAGTAAAAGTAGAAGTACCAGAGTGTAGTAATACTCTGTTGCAAGTAAAAGTCCTGCATTCAAAATGTTACTCAAGTAAAAGTACACAAGTAGTAGCATTGAAATATAGTTAAAGTACCAAAAGTAAAAGTAGTCATTGTGCAGATTGGTCCATTTCAGAATAATATATATGATATGTTTTATAATGATTAATCATTAAAGTGTTCTCAAACCTGGTAAAGGTGCAGCTAGTTGTAATGATTTTGTATACTGCAGGGTAGCTTGTGAATTTACTCCAGGTGGAACTAAAGTCTGATTGAACACTTGATTATATTTCACATCATTCATCCACATCTGTAAAGTAACTAAAGGTTTTAAATACATGTAGTGGATTAAAAGTACACCATTTACCTCTGAATTGTAGTGGATTAGAAGTACAAAGTAACAAATGGAAATACTCAAGTAAAGTATATCAACATTCTACTTAAGTACAGTACTTGAGTAAATGTACTTGGTTACCTCCCAGGTCTGCTAATGTGAAAGTAATGCAGGAGAAGTGAAAATATGAAATACTGCTGATCGTTATGTAAGCTGGTTTGTTTGTCTGTGTTTCAGCGTGCTCTGCCCACAGGATCTGTGACAACTGTGTTCCTCATGCCAAGGTAAGGCTGCCAGCAGTCATGGGGGAGCGGTTTATACAAACAAAACCTTTGCCCTCACGTGTCACACAGTAAAAATCATAATGTATGCTCCATTGTTTGACGGCTCATCAAGCGGCCTAATTAAAGGTAGAGTAGGTAAGAATGGAGAAACCAGCTTGAGTGCGCTAGAATTTGAAAGTACGCAGCTGAAAGAAATCTGCCCCTTCCTTCAGACTTCCTTACAGAGCCCCTCCCCCAACACACACGAACGCGCACATGACATTTTTGTATGTATTTATTGTCAAAGCATTTAATATATTCATTGCTATCAGGATGTTAAGAGCATTCCATGGAATATAACAAAAAGTGTTTCTGAAGTGAATTACCTACCTCACCTTTAAGCTTCCACACCAATAAAGACCCTCCATTTGTTCTCGAGTATTCAGTAAAACAGTGACCCCAAGGGGCAACTACTGTAAGTACTTTGACAAAATGTCAACTTGTAGCTCTGTTGCCACCAATCCCTCATCAGAATTCACTGAGGAGGGTCTCTCAAATCTGTGACTTTTTTTAAGTTAAAGTAAATCTGCTTATTTGAGTTACTTTCACATTTAGTCTAGGTAACTCAGGTTTTTGATTGGAGCCTTTATTATTAGAGCAGGGTAGTGTCAAGCTTCATTTCAATTTGAATGAATCTCTTGATAATTTTCTCAATAATATTTTGTTTAAGAATGCCGGTAAAAAGTCCATAAAGCCAAGGTTGCCATCTTCAAATTGGTATTTTTGTCAGATATTTAGTTTAACCTCCCGTAAACTGAAAAACATCTAATCAATTATAAGTAGCTAGAACCACAGCATGTTTGATTTTTGATTTTAATAAATGACCTGAACAATTCATCAACCTTCAAAGTAGTTGCAGGTTAATTTTAAGGCTGCATGATTTTGAAAAGCATGTGATTATTTTGTCTGATCTTGCAATTGCGATATGATTCTTGATATATAGGGAAAGATCATTTTTGAAACAATATCATTTAAAAATATGCCAAATGATCATAATGTGATTTTCTTTGAGGATCTGTACCAGACAAATATGTTTGTTTAACGTGTAGAATACGATCTGTAGGCCGGGATATCCCCGCAGCTCCACAATACTTCATTTCAAATGATTTTAACACATATTTAGCCTGAAAGAAAAGATGGTGCTTCCTGCGATTTGAACATTGCCCTAGTCTATACTGCTACTGATAACATTTAGATTTATTGTGCTACCCTAGTTAATTCACTGTTCATTGAATCTAGATTTCAACTTCAAATTGAGTCGGTTCAGACCTTTATTCAATCCTTTGCAGGTGGTTGATCTGTGTTTTCTGTTTTCAGTGCCTGTGGTGCTTCACCACCAACAACTGCACGGAGTACCCAGTGAGCTGGCTGCTGCCCCCCGCCTCAGTGTGCCAGCTGTCCCAGGCCCGCTGGGGGGTGTGTTGGCGTGAGTCCACCAGTCTTATCACTAAGGGAATAGATGGGGCCAATGTCTGCTTTCTCTTTGTCCCTCCGGTGATCCCACTGGTGTTGTAGAGGAGTGTTTATCTCTGTAAAGTTAACATGGAAAAGGTTTATTGGATTTTGCCGGAAAAGGAAACTGTTGGACAAAATATTTAAGCAGAGGTGGGAGAAGTATTCTTATCTTGTACTTGAGTAAAAGTAGAAGTACCAGAGTGTAGGAATACTCTGTTAAAAGTTCTGCATTACAAATGATACTCAAGTAAAAGTAGAAAAGTATTATCATCAAAAAATAGGTGCAGCTAGTTGTAATGACTTTGTATACTGCAGGGTAGCTTGTGAATTTACTCCAGGTGGAACTAAAGATGATTTAACACTTGATTATATTTCACATCATTCATCCACATCTGTAAAGTAACTAAAGGTATTAAATGCATGTAGTGGAGTAAAAGTACACCATTTACCTCTGAACTGTAGTGGAGTAGAAGTACAGAGTAGCATAACATGGAAACACTCAAGTAAAGTACAAGTACCTAAAAATTGTACTTAAGAATAGTACTTGAGTAAATGTACTTTACACCACTGTATTTAACTGATGTTTCAGTTTAGAGTTTCAGTGACATGTTAACATGGCCTGTTATGAGGAAGTTGATGTCGTGGTTTAGTGCTCAGTACACAGTATAAAAGAAAGAACGAAAGTATTGTCACATTCCTTCATGTTGATGTCGAAATGATCTAGCGCTATGAAATACTGGTTAGTCAAATTCCAGTAGGCAAATATCTGCAGGATGGTTATCAAACACAAACATGCAAGTGTTCAGACCGAGGGAAACAGTCTTCAGAGAAACCGGTTGTGTGAGGATGTTTACTTCTTACTTTATGTTGCGCCAGTGATTTTTTGTTAAAGCTTTATAGAAGTGTACCATTGCCTCTGTACACAACAAACATGCTGACGAGGTACAGACATGCAAAATAAAAAAAGAGTGATGGAATGGTAGTTCCCCTCATTTCTGATGAGCCAGGCAGTTTTGGACAGTATTCAGACGACATTTATTTATTTATTACATTTCTGGTTGTAAATTCAGGTGCAGTCTTTTTGAAACATCTAAATATACATATCCCCAAACTCTGTTTTTAATTAAAGTGTCAAAATGTAGTTAACAAAGACACATATAATTAGAGACAGACTGCCCCAGTCCAAACATTAAACAATGAAACAAATAATGTGCACATGTAGGGAAAAGCATGTGGCTGATAAGAGGCACAAGCGTTCCCATGAGACATCATGAGTGTATGTTTGTATGAAAATATGCACTAAATGCTCAGTTTAACTGCCATGGTTTTATTCGAAGTATAACATGTCTGACCAATTTACAGTCTAGAAATCCACATTTCATTCATATAGAGTAATATTTCAAATATACCGATTTTCAACACCAACAAGTGGACTTTGAACGTTGTATAGATATATGACTTAATCATTACTCAAACACTGGCTGGACCTACTATCACAGTGGAAAGTTGTATTTCTGAAATCATTTGGTTTCTTCTTCCAAAGGTCTGAGACTATTATCTGCTGCTTATCATAAGAATGTCACTACTTTTTACACAAATCACAATTTGGGTGACATATCCCCAGTACAGATCAGGGATTGCTTAATAAAACATTTCCAATTAGTTAAAATAATTAACAAGAGTTATGTTAAAAGTATGCTCAAAGGTTTAGGGCATTTGTCCATGAGAACACTAGTGGAAAGCAGATGTATAACGATACTAATTCAATGTAATGTCTTGAAAGCTAACTATGGAAAGTTGATGAAAGCCGAGGTGGACACACCAAATGGAAGGTTGACAAACTGACTACCCATCCACTAGCTGCCTAGCTAGCACACCATGCAGAAATACATATTCATGGTACATACAACTGGCCAATTTACAACCTCTCATTTTGCCAAGTCAGCAAAGAAAAACCTTCAGGTTGTTTGGAACAGAAATATTTCTGCAGATTTGACAAGAAAAGCTTACCACAATGCCTAAATAATCTTCATCTGTCTCACTGTGTTAACCTGTTTAATCACTGACTTCATATGTAACCAACTAAAACTGATAAACAGTTGTGCTGCTGCTGTTTCAGGCCATGACACAAAGTCCCATCTGATTCAAATGTCTTTGATGTCTTGGTTATGTTTTCACTGGAAATGAAAGTGAAGTGATCACCACAATGGAGTGTAGTGTTGGCCAGCAGTCAGCAGGTGGCACCATTGCCACATAATTAGAGTATATATAGAATATATTGCCCTAATCCTTTTTTTGTAGAGAATAATAAATATCACTTTGTCTTTTTGTGTGATTCAGTTAACTTTGAAGCCCTGATCATTACCCTGGCTGTCATTGGTGGAGTCATCCTCCTCAGCATTGGGGTATGCTGCTGCTGCTGCTGCTGCTGCCGCAAGAAGAGACGCTCAAGGTAAAGTCCATGTCAAGTCAGGGGCATTGAATGCACCTGGAACACATACAGCTCCAGGCTCAGAGGTAATAATGCAGTCCAATGCTACGCTACAACCTGATGACTCGATGACACAGGGTGTTTCTCAATCGCGAGTACGCTTGCTTGGTAGCACATGTCTGCCGAGCATCTTGCTTCAGAAGCGAGGCAAGAATACTTCCTGGCATTCGGAAAACAAAGAGTGGAACAGGCTAGCAAGTGTGCAGGTGTGCGTCATATGAGAGGCCCCGCCTTACATTTTCCGCCACAGATTTGGGGAAATTGGTCCGTGCGCAAAGCATTGTGGGGATTTTAAGACCGCGGAGTCTACTCATGTGCAGCCTCGATATTTCTCCAAACGGAGTACGCCGGGCTCGGTAGATTTCCAAGTATGCTGGAGATTGGAACAGTACTTTGGCGGCACTCGATGACGTAGTATGCTTGAAATAGTGGCTCTGAAGCAGCTTTACTCGACATTGAGAAACACCCACAGTGTCAGGAGAAACTCAACACAATGAGCTTCATAAAGATAGGATTATCTGCAGTGCTGGGCGATATGAAGAATATCATACATCGCAATATATTTCTGACCAAATAACTCAATATCAATATTGTGACGATACTGTAGGGTTAAATATTTAAACAATGAGACATTCGATAAACATTCATTGGTAATGTGGATGTAATTACTAAGTGGGTAAAGGCACAATAGAGTGGTGCAGTGAAGATGTTTTTGTGGGCCGACCCTGAAGTAACTATAGCAAGGCCCCCTCAACAAAAGTCAACGGGACTTTGCACACGATGATACTTACACATATTTGTTCAGTACGATAATGTCCACATATTTACACTACTTTAATGATAGTTAAAGTGTGAATGCAAACACCAGATGTAAACAGCTAACGTTAGACTATAAACTAATAAAGCTTGTCTTAACCACAGACCGTATTTCAGGATTCTAACCAAAAATAATAAAGGTTAAGGGCTAAAATGCTAACTAATTTCTAGGTTTAGGACATATTCCTGTACCACTCTTCTCTACAGGCACAATATACAGTGAAACAGCTTGAACAGTCTGGTCGAATTGGAAAGTGAGATCACTTTACTGTAATCCTGCCTTTAAATCCAGGAGAGGCACTTACAATATGACCATTGCTGTCGGATATAAGCCGATATCTCTGGATATCACAGTTTCAACATAATATACACATATTTCCAAGCCCAAATGTATTACAGTGCTATTGTAATGGATTCATTCAATCCAAATAATTGGATGACTTGGTCTAAAGGAATCCTTATACAACGATTAAAATGTTCATAAGGGTGTCAGTAATGTCTGTGAATCCCTCTTGTGTGCCTCAGGGAGTGGACCTCTCCTCAAACTAAAGGAGCTTGTAATGGCTTCTGTGGTGAACAGCTGTTGAGTGTAGTGAAGTTTTTGGAGTTGAGCACTCATGCACTACATTCTCTCTCCTCTGTTGCTCTTTTAGCTTCATCCTTTCAGCTTCCTTTACAAGACAACTGTGTGTGCTGCTGTCATAGTGCTGCAGGGAAAGGAAGTGTCATGTCTGTCAATCAGCTGTCAATCAGCTGTCACCCTGACAGTCCTGAGGGTGTAGGAGTCACACTCATGTCTATCATGTGACACAAGAAGAGCCTGTAGTTACATTTTCCCAAGTAAATGTGTTATTCTCACCTTCTGATTCCAACCATTACACCAAGTCATTACATTATCAAAGGTGACACATTGTTTCTGTAGTAAAAGCTCTCTCTTTACTTTTGAACAATTTCCTCTTGTTTCTCAGAGAGTCGTGAATCAAATATAAACCGTGCTCCGGAGAATTTGGATCACTTAATCTTCTAAGTTGAGCTTTGTGAAAATAAATATCCTTCCAGCAAATGGTTTGTAGACGTATGTCATTTGTCAGATGTGGATGAGTGTGTTATTGTGCTCTGTGGTTCTGTGATCCTGACTCTGCTCTCGCTCTTCTGTCTGCAGGCCTGACAGAGATGATGAGAGAGTTATCGCGAGGAGGGAGGAGATCAAACAGCGCGCTGAGGAACGGTAAGAACTTCACTGCAGGCTAGGGCTTAAGTACAAACCGCTTGAAAGACATGATAACTGTGTATATTGAAATAACAGCTTCACATGGCAGTCTGCGTGTCTGTATTTAATCATTCTTAAGAAAACAAGTTTTGTTTAAAGGAGAGGTTTTTGTGCTAATAGCATGTCTCTCCCCTCTGGCTCAAGTGAATGTAAGAAGGTCAATGTTGTTGGGCTGGGAGAAATAAAACAGCAGGTCATCTTTCAGAACTATATATCTATTTTATGATATAGTAAATATAAGCAACTATGTAAAAAGTAGTAATACTTTTATTCAATACATTATACAAGAATGTTCATCTGCATTAATTAGTGATTCATTCTGATTTTGAAAACACCATTATATTGGTGATTATATGATTACAAACACTTTAGAAACCCAGCCCTGCCTGAGAACAAAGATGTCTTCTCATTAGTTTTCTTTTTGTTTTTAAAGAGAGTGCTACAGAGGTTGTAAGGCTTTAAAATTCTCTTAATATATTTGATTGTTACACAATATCTAGAGGTTTGAAAAACCATAGGCACGCTCTAGATCAATCACAAAATACATGTATGGATTTTTGGAGAAAGTAGAAACCTTTGAAAAATAATAGTTTTGTTCATTTTCAAATTAAAAGTCAAATTATAGGATCCTTGTAAACTAGGTAAAACGAGCAAATCAGGCTAATACACATTCATTCATGAAGTGCAAATATAACACAATTACAATATTACAATCAAACTAAGTTTATTGTCATATCATATAATAGTACAGTCTAAAAAACAAGATGTAACCCTTTTTATTTTCTCCACATCTCGGGTGTTTTGCCCGACAGCATCCCAGCATGAAACATGGGATTTCCTGCTACGAATAGCTAATAGTCCACAACAAAAGGGCCCGTTGTGTGTTTGGGATTCAAGCAACTGGTGTGTGTGTGTGTGTGCAGCCCCATGTAGTCCATGTGGTCCATGTCCCAGAGGAGGAGCGCAGCGTTCCTCCACTCTCATCCCAAAACACCAATTGGATTGTCAAGGCTGAGCAGCTGCTCTTTGGTAATGTGGTCATAAATAGAGCGAGCTACATCCTGTGCACTGCCCTCGCCCACGGTCATAGAGACAGTGTGTCGCTCACTGAATCCAGCAGTCAGTGGACCTGGAACTCTTCCTGATCCTCCTAAATGTTTCAGCCTCATCTTTCGGAGTAGTTCCTGTGCTCCCAGCGCATTCATCCTCCGAGGATGTGTCAGTATGCAGAGCAGTCGTGCAGAAAGAAAGTCGGTAACCGTGGAGCATCATCCTCACTCGCAGTGCTGGGAACATCGTGTGTGTGTGTGGACAATCTCGTTGAGCTTTTCTCTCACGTGCCACAGAATACAGGGTTCCCTGCAGTGAGCATGATCAAATCTTGGAAGTCAGAGTTAGTGCAGTGACCTACATAGAGGCGGTTCATGTTGTGAACAGGACATTCAGAATAGATGGGACATTTCGTGGGAAACACTAGTGACTGCAGACTTTGCTGCCTGGCCTCCAGAGAGCCATCTCAAAGCACTGATCCAGGAATCGCTAAGGGATAGTTTCGTTTTTTGAAGATTCGTTTTTGGGCCATCAATGCCTTAAAAGGGGCAGACAGAGGGGCTGACACATGTGTTAATGCTTCCTGAATCATATCCCAACTCCACAGCAGGGACTGTGTTGCAGTACATGGGCCACCAAGTGAGTTATATGGTGGCTGAGATTGTGTTTTAGGTTGTATGAGATTCTTCAATAGTCAGTGTATTAGCTCCATGGGGTTCGGAATGCCCCCAGTTTGGAGAAACCGACAGAAGCAACAGGAAACAATGTGTCGGTATTGGTGGATGCTATATGTAAAATCATTTTGATGTTGTATACATCTCCACGCCCTCGCCAAAGTCACCAACTCCAATGACAACACTGATTTTAACACAGTACACAGGGGTTGATGTTCTTACACCATAACACACACTCTGCAATTTTACTGGGATTCTCAATGAAAATAAGCCATTGTTATTGTTACCTATTTCACTCGTCTTTTACTTACTATGACTTGTCAAAATGCTGCAGTGAAAAATTTCTATTCTAGCTTACATGTCCGCATGAAACCAAATCCATCCGACCTTGAGGAAGTGACTAACTTCATACAAGCCAATAAATGTTCTCCCTCACATCCCTCCAATCCATCATAGATGACACATAGATCTGTTCAATCTTCATCAACTAGTAACAATACTGGGGAAACTAGTGATAAATAGAGTTGTATCAAATGTAATAGAAAGGACATTATCAAGAACACTAACCATTTCATTCTTAGTTTGTGCCATGGAAATAAAAATGGCATGTTTATTAGACATAGATCTTCACAAATAGCCTCCAACTTTGCTAAATGGACACAGAGAAGGAGTTGGACTGCAATGTCAGAACATATTGAATAAACCTGAACACCATGCAGCAGAACCATCTGGAAATGGCATTAAAACCTAGCTGAGCATTTCCTTAGAGGAGGGCTGGAAAAGATTGCATTCCACGCTTGCCTTGTCAACTTCCCACTTGTTGAATGCCAGTGAAGCCATATTTATGTAGAGAGTGTGGTTACAGACAAGCCGGCAGCAGAGCGGGGGGCAGATGGCAGGCGGGGCTCACAGATCAGTACCTGGCAATAAAACACTCAGTGATTTACACACGCTCTTTGTGCACAGATGAAGTGAAGTGACGCCCTGGAGGTCCGCACCACAAAACCTCTCCCGGGCTTTTGTTGCTCGTCAGAAAGGCTGAGAGAGGGCTGGCAGCAGGCGGGTTGCTCTCCGCGGCTCGCTGCCAGATAACTGAAAATATCACACTCTACAACAAAACAGTGTTTAAAATGCCGTTCTGCAAAAGAAATGCAGACATGATTATCTATACTCGATTGGGTGGCATTATATTGTGGTGCCTCATATTAACGTTTATTATAAAGGATGCAGTAAACACATGGACTGTGCAGAGCTGAGGGACTCTGTATGTCAATATGAAAACAATAGCCTAACATAAGACCATATATCAGATTGACATTTTGTAATCAATGTTTATGTTATTATTATGTCTATCCCTTTATTTCCTCATATGGGGACGGGAATCGATAAGACTTTATCGAAATCCATGCCATTATTGATTCCTGTTTCAAATCCAATTCTTCAGCGGTTTGTTTGTCATGTCCTCTTAAATTGTTCGGTGGAATAATAATAATAAAAGCTGCAGCCTCAGTGTGACGGTCATCTTCTCAAATCGATGAAACAGGAGACTTGTTATACAGTGATGGCATGAAGAAATGCAGGGTTAGGTATCTCACCCCAGGTCTCTGCGACATGTGACTGCAGAGGGTAGGATTTGAACCACCGACCATCCGATTGGTGGAATACTGCTCTACCTTCTACCTCTCTTGTACCACAGATGTATGGTAGTAGAAACTGTTTGTGATTTTAGCAGTCACTCAAAGCTCAATTATAAGTTCGCCAGCTGAATTAACTGTCAAGGAAGTGATCCAAAAGTATTATTTTAGTGGTGTAACTACTCATGATAGACAACATTTCTTTATATATGCTGTTTTGTGCCATAGAAGTTTGATGACATTATGTTAGCTCATCTTAATCAATGTTCAGTTGAACGCAAAATGGGAAAAGAATAAAAAATAAACCAAAGAACAGGTGTGAAGGGAAAGGATATTTCAAATATAATGACTGTGATGTTTCCTTTCCTTTTTTACAGGACTGTTGAGAGAAAGGAGAGGCACGACCAGATCCGCAAGAAGTATGGTACGTATGAATATGGGTATATATTGTTTTACCATATGTGCTCCATGACCCTCTTTAAGCACTCCACACTGTGGTGTATACCCTGCTGGGCCAGAGTTGATCCGTAGGTCTACAGAGCCTCTCTGTTCTGTTACGGCCCGTCCACACAGCAGCGTTAAAAAAAATCTTCCAACGCTTCTGCCCATTCACTTTGAATGGGGTGACGTCACTTTGCCTCACTTTTCGCCGAACTGCATTGTGGGAAGCAAAGCGGAGATTTCCAGGCATCTCAGGCTTCACAAGTTGAGCAATGTTCAACTTTTGAAGCTGAGGTGGAAGCATCAGCCAATCAAATCCCGTTTATGCAAATCTGACAGTACAAGCGCTAGCCAATCAAACCGTGTGTATGCTGGGAGAGACATACCGCAGGTCATTTCCTCATATTCCAAAAAATGGAGGAGAAATGAGCGGTAGGGAATCACCCGGTGCTTTATGACCAGTCCCTATTTACCTACCGGGATATAAACTGGAGGAGCCAGGCATGGAGGGAGGTGGCAGAGACAGTGGTATGGTTTCGCCTGTTTGGGGAGTTTATATCCAGTTTACTTCGGGCTTTTTTGCTTTGTATGTCGGGGGCGGGAGATTCATGTGATTGGTTGTTGGTCGCGTTGCTCGCAAAAAATCCCCAAGCTTCAGATCCACCCACCTTCAAGATTTTTTAACGCTGCTGTGTGGACGCTCCGTTACACTCAGCTTTGTCTCACATGTGTGTTTTCATATTGTGCAGGACATTGTCATTGACTTTAATGTCCATACTCTGTGCCAGCGATGCATTATTCAGCAGTACATAGCTTCTGTCCTCAGGTCACTCTAAGGTTACTCTCACTCCTGTCTGCTTAAATCAATGTAAGCACATTTATCATACAGAGGAGTCGAATAGAGTCCATGAATGACTGTGAGCAGGATGCTACACATCCCTGAAGAACCAGACAAAGGGAACCATAGCCTGTAGCTTACACTGTACTGTCTGTGTCGGTAACATGCTAACCTGGCGCTACGCCCAAATGGAGTTAAAGAAGATTCCTTTATAGTCAACTACTGCATGGCTCGAAGTCCTACATGGAACAAAAAAAGTGTATTCAATCAGTTTCATCACTGTCCCACTATGCATTTTGCAATAATGTTGTTCCTGTGATAAATACACAAACACTTTAGTTTTATAACACACACCACGGTGATCTACATACCTCCACACCCAATGAACTAGCCCTTCAGGTTTGACTGTTTATGGTTATGTGTGTGAGCGGTCCTTGTCTACACACGGCCCTGCTGCTCTCTGTTACTTCCTGAACTCAACACAACCTTTTTGTTGTTTCTTTTTGCCGACAACGATATCTCAGCAATACAATTCATTCACAACTCAAAACTAAAGCATGGCTGTTACGTAACTCCTATATATTCTGGGGCAGTTTACTCATAACCAGATTAATATAACTCTTTTCATCACATTGCCCACCCCTAATGTGTGACCAACTACAGCACAGCTGGTCAAAGTTGAACAAATGAAGTTAATTAAGTTCACTCAATGAATAAAATGAAAGCGGAGCAGGCTCGATATGACGAATGAAGGTTAAGGTTAGTTTATTAATATAGCACATTTGTAATCACAAGGGCCATTCAAAGTGCTATACATGGGCAATAACACATACCAATTAAAAACCAAACAAAAAGTAACAAAAAGACAATTCATAGAAGAGATAGAAATGTACTAAATATAGACATTGTAAATACACATAATGAAACTCTTCATTCTTGACTCTGATCATATACTCGAATGTTTCTGAAATAAAGAATCCAATAGCAAAGAAATGATCACATTGGTGCGTAGTAAGATGTCAGGTTGTATGGACAACATGACAGAGTGATGCATGCTGGTCCTCCTGCTCTCATTAGACCGCAGGGCTCTGTGCTGTAAACACACACAGGGAGCTGAGGCCTCTCTGAGACTCTTCACTGTGTGAGTCCTGCTTTCAGGATCAGTGCAGGAGGCTCAGCATCCTCCAGGGAGGCTCAGCATCCTCCAGGGAGGCTCAGCATCCTCCAGGGAGGCCACCAGGTTACTCAGCAACATGCTTTCAGGTCAGATCAGTCCAAATGATCCCTGCAGGGAAATAGGAAGAACAGCACCTATAAACAACACTCTGAAGCTCACTGCAAACACATGATTAGAAAAGTGACAGTGAGGTTTTGAGGGGTTACATGTTGGAGCTGTTTCCCTCTGAGTGCAGGCTCCACACAGACATGAGGTCTGTGCATGTCGATCTCTGAAGGAAATCAAATATGTTGTCTAAATTATTCCTAATTCTCCACAAAACTGCAACCTGGGTCTGCACAATTAGTCAAATGTCTTATCTAAAGACATATATGTAAAACAAATCTGAACCAAGTGTTGTGGTCCTGGTCTACTATCTGTTATTTTACAGACTTCATTAAAAAAGCCTTATGGTAGAGAGTCTCTTTAAAATCACAATATGAAAATGTCATATCTTTTTCTATAACAATGTGGATATTATTTAAGAAACGGTCATTCCCACTAATGTTAGTCCAAAATAATCGTAACTACTTAAATCCTCACAGCCACATTTGTTTGACAAGGAGAGTTGGTGTGAATAATGGCGCTTTTCCACTGCAGGGTCTCGCTCGGCTTAGTACGGTATAGCTAGGCCTCGTTAGGCCTTGTTAGGCCAGGCTCACTTTATGCTGCGTTTCCATTACAGTTTAGTAGCTGGGGCAGTAACTATAGTAACGCAGTGTAGGCGGAGCCGTGACGTCCATCTTCAATGCGAAACACAAAACCAACATCAGCCGTTAGCTGTTAGCACTCAGAGCTCACAGCTCCTCATATATGTTCAGAAACTAGGCAAAAGTTAAACAAGTACAAACCACAGACTGTCTGTGTCATGGTGAATACAGTCGCTGCTTATTTATGTCTGTATAGGCCGTTGTTGTGAGTGTGGACGGTCGGAGCATACTACTGCGTTAGCTTAGCCAATCTCCATTTAGACAACACGCATTTAAAAGGTTTTTTCGCCTGCCGTCTGTCTGCAAACTTGTCAAAGCATTAATTCATGGTTTTTACTAACCGGTATCAGTATGTTGTTACTTCGGCATCACTTTGAAACGTGTTAAATATGTTCATTTTGTTGTAGTTGTAGCCCCCTTGCTAGCGATTCTCTCACTAGTTTAGCATACTCAGCCCGACTCAGCCTGGTTGTTGGCCCCGGAAAGAACCTCGATTTTGGAGAGCCAGAAAAACTGTGAAAAAGATACCCGCTAGCCGGAACTACGCCTAGTGGAAACGCAACCAAAACGGTCCGGGCACGGCACGCTTAAACCGCGCTCCGCGCTGTAGTGGAAATGCGCCATTAGTGTCATGTGACCATGCTGACATGCTAATGCTAACTCTGCTTAGCTGTTGTTCTGTTAGCACTCTTGGGTTACATTTAGCGCTTTATTAATCATCATGACCTCCTACAATAGGCACTGTGAAAGTAAACACACACACACACACACTGATCTGTGACTTGACATGTGTTGTGTTTCTGTTTCAGACCGCTTTGAATCTGTTCAACCTGTTCAATCTGTTCAACCTCTAAGAAAATACGTCCCCAACACTTAGATATTTCTATTGTCCTTTCAAAGAAGCAGATAACAATGCACATTTATATTTTAGTATAAAAGGCACATAAATAATAAATATACTTCTGCTGTATCACCACTTCTTATTTTTGTGTATTTTCCACTGAAGGATGTTGGGTGGGAAAAAAATATGAATTAATTATTGAAGAAAGTGCCACACACACTGTCCCAGAGGACATTAAAGGAACCCGCACTGATCCAAACACATCCAGGGACACAAAGACATGGGGGAGCTGGGAAAAAGCATCATGGCATCTTGGGTTTATGTGTTATAACTAAAAGTCAAGATATCAGTCTCTGCTGCTTTCATTTTGGTCTTTTTTTTTTTTTTTTTTTTTTGCATTATTTTCATCGTTTTATTTAATGGAGTTTTGACAGTACTTGTGATTAGTAGTGTGATTGTTCTTTAATACCAACACAATATCTAGTTTTTTTATTTGAAATCCTCTTGGCAATATTTTTCCTAGTTTTGGGTCTTAATTCCCTCTCTAATATCTATTTCATATTGCTGTGTAAATTCTCCTTCAAACCACTTATTCATTAATTTTCCCAAGTGGAGCTACATTTACCAAAATGAAATGTGCTCTCTTCATCCTGACATTAGTAATGACCTTCACCCAATGCTAATGTGTGCAGGTCTGTTCTGCAGTGTTAATCATACGTCCATGGTTGAAGCTAACAGCTAACGCTAACTAGCTGCCCTCCTGCCCTTTTTAAAGATGGATATGTTGTGCAGCAAAAACCAAAAGTGGCGTTCAAAGAATGTTTAAAGTGCAATATTATGCGTTAACTTTGACAGCTGCAATGTTTGGTTTTCAATCTGCAAGTGGAAGGCAGGATAGATGTAGGAAGGATCAATTTCAGTCATGTACCGTATACGTTTAAACTCATTAGAATAGCTATGGTGGATTTTCCAATATCTGTATGAGATGTGTGAAATAGATTTTGAGCATCACTCGGAGAGGAGCAGAGCCCCCTGACCCAGAATGAAGTACTGTTTTCTTTCTGTCTCCCCCTCCTCTGCAGGGTCTGATGAGCGACTCGGACCACCCGTACAGCAAGTTTGAGAACGAGTAACGCCGCTGCTCTGGAGACGTTCCACAGGCAGCCTGTGGAGCGGAGCCTTCTCTTTATATAGACAAATCACTTTCAAACTTTTCATATTTTCGAGGGATGTTGAAGCTAGGTTAATTAAGGTTCTTTAGTCCTCTGAATGTTCGTTCTATAAGCTGTCTCTTTTTAAATATTGTAGTTTCATATCAGCTTTGCACTTTGTACATACAGTATTGATTTAAGAAATACATCATGATTGTACCGCAGATGTGTTCTGACACATGAAATAAAATGTTCCTCTTTCAAACATTTGTTTTTGTTTTTTATTCTGTATCTAAAATTAGTTTTTATCGAACACGTTCTATGAAGACCACATCTGTAGTGCATTATGATCATTGATTATTCAAAAATTATATATATCAATTCTAATGCTTCTTTACTACACATGACTGTCAGCTGTGGTTCTAGATTCTGTGAGATGTAATCTGCTGAACTCAGCCCCTGCTTTCTGTTTCATCTCAGCTTCACTTCCCACATACCCCACGGAAACTCACTTGTACACATATTAAAACATTAGCAGCGTTTCAATATTGCCTTAACATAGCATAAAGGATGTGCAGTTAGATCGTTTCATCTGTATTAATCATGTTTGATAAATTGATCATATGTTTTGTATATTTATTTTACCAGGATATGTCTCATTGAGATTAAAAATCTATTTCCAAG